ATCGCGTAGAAGTAAAGGCGGGGTATCGATGACGATCAAGTTATTTTCACCACTGTTTGTCCCCCAGTCTGTCTGTGATAGACACCAATGAACGCCGAGTACGGAACCTTTCCACGCCGAGTATGTTGTTACCAGTTGAACTTTTACCGCTTCCTATCATACCGACCAACACTATAGATACTGTGTTTTTCCTCAATGGACTTCTGCTATCGATAAATTGTCGAGTACTCATAGCTATTCTGTAAACCAAGTGGTCGGGAAGTTTTATAATAGAATACAATGTCTTAATCAGGTTAAACGTATATGCACTAACTAACAACGACGTCTAACTTACTTGTGAATTGAAAGTTGGTATTTCGTACAGCGTTAATGAGTTAAAGAATAATTCGTCGTGTACGCCCCAAAATTATTACGATACTGTCAGTTTTACCTCGTGATCCCGACTATGCGCAAGCGACGTGACCTATGTCATGTCAAGCAGCAGAAATCAAAACATTAACTTTTAAGCGTTACACGCAAGTCGTATCCCGCAACTCTAATTTACTGGCAGAGGTGCTTACAGGACATTGGCATTAAATAGTAAGTTCATTCAAAGTCAATTTTGGCGCTATGCAATTTCGATGTGTATATGACTACGTAAATCCCATGATTATATTCAATTGCTGGCGAAACCGAAAATAAAGCATCTGCTCTTTACTCAACTGAAATTCTAGTTTATTCATGACGCACGTTTACGGAGAACTAATATACATATGAAAGCTGTGGTTTCAAACAGCAAGACAATACGTAATCTCGTACCACGCGTGTGTAGAGATGCACGCGCATATTACCCTCGTAGTGCTCTTCATTCAGTTAGAGGGCCTTTTACGTCTTGACATTCAATTTTGTCGTGAATTGTGTCATCTAGTCGTTTTACAGTTTCTATAATGTAATTTCCCCGGATTATTCTTTACGATGTTTTTATTTGGATGTAAATTCTTGTACGTACCGAGAAAAATGACACATTTTTACAGTGTACGAAAACAATATTTGATCGATTAGCCTGTGATTACAGAATTACGGAATTTATTTTTTCAATTTACGTAGTACGAACAAAAAAATATTGCAATTACGTTGAACGAAAATAACCCCCCCCCCAATATACGAAATGGTGTATGTAGTTCACTGGCACTGAAACGCTCGTAATTAATATTTACCAACTTTATGTGAATAAAACCTTAACGCGTGTGCCCTCTTGTTCATAGTCTAAGTAACTTGCAACACACATTGTTCGCTGAGGGCATACTTCCAAATAAACTTTCGAAACCGACAATCGGCTATATCTCGCCATTATCCCGCAAGCCGTGTACTAGTATATTGTCTCTGTCTTGTACATTTCGTCAGCTACACTAGAGGTAAGCTTAAATAATTACTTTATAAAAGTAATGCTAGTGTCGACATACATGATCGGATATGTGGCGTTTTATTATTCGTATTGCGTTCATCATCTCATTTTTGACACAGATACAAAAAAGACGAAGGTTTGTTAGTCGTGATACTAAAAAAACATTCTATTCAGTTTTTAGAAAACATGGCTAGCGACGATGGTGGATGTAAAACCCTCATTCTGGTCATAGTTGGTCCAACAGGTGCTGGAAAAAGCGCTACTGGTAACACCATCTTAGGAAGACGTAAGTTTGTGTCGACATTGTCTTCCGTGTCAAAAACAAGATACATTGAATGGGGTAAACGTGCTATTGGAGATCGGGACGTTGTGGTGATCGACACCCCCGGCTTGTTCGATACCCACGAGGAAATGACTCCAGAAATGCTAGCCACTGAAATATCGAAATGTATCGGTATTGCTATGAGTCAAGGTGTCGGCCTTGATGCAATTATTTTAACAATGAGTGCCGATCAGCGCATGACAAAGGAACACATGTATACAATTCAGTTCCTCCGAAAACTGTTTGGTGAAGAGATGATGAAATACGTAGTGTTACTCTTTACCAGAAAAGATCGACTTGACGAGGATGATACATCATTGGATGAGTATTTGTTTGACGTCCCACAGTTTCTTGCTGATCTATTGGAGGAGTGTGATCGTCGTGCCATAGCGTTCAACAACAAGACAAAAGATGTTGAAGTCAAAGAGCGTCAAACTGCTGAACTGTTGCACATTATTGAAAAACTGAAAACGGTAAACGGTGATAAGCCATTCACTAGCAACTTGACAGATCGCGTTAAGCGAGCAGTCGAGGAAGACCGGAAGAAGAACTACAGCGGACCAGGCGGTAGTGACAAACAAAGTGAAGAAATTGCAAATGGATTCAACATTACAATCATCAGAAGTATCGCTTCATTCATTATGGAATTTAGTCAGAAAGCGTTCGTTTTAGCGAAAATGATATTCGAGATCAGTCCTAAACAGTGTCCCAAGGAATAGCCCTAATATGCAAAAAAAATCAACAAAATCGCTGTTTAAGTATTACTCTTATATACCACATCTAACGATTGCCCGCTGAGTAGTAAAACTTTTGATTGACCATTTTGATGTCGATAACGAAATAATGAGGTTGTTGCATTGGTTATTTACATGGTCACGAAACCTTTAATTACCAATGCTTTGGTATACATTATAATGTAGATGCTTGTTACGTATCTTGAGCTTTGAAATTATTTCATACTTGACTGTGTGATTTATTAATTATTATAAATTACAGATAATATGCATTGCTGGTTATCATAACAATGCCGTTACTCAATGTTGACTATTATCTTAAGTACGTTGTATTTTATAGAATAATTAGATATAGCTATGCGCTCTATAAAATATGTTACATACATTTTGACCAATATGTGCAAAATCTCTACTCGATTAATAGGCAGAAGCAAACGTTCAAATTATTACTATGCACAGAATAACACATAGTTGGTACACGGATAAAACAATCATTATAACAAAATTAGTATTTATTTGCATCATTATCTCATCCATACATTCATATTTTCAGTTTGCTTAAACTATGCTTGTATGTCTTAGAGATAATTGTTTTAGTACTCAAGAATGAACAGCTTTTCCAGACACATACTGCGTTCGGAAGTATGTAAGGAAAGCAGTGTTTTTGCATTTTAAAACTTTCATTGTTTTTTAATTTGAAATTGTTATAGTGTTTATTAATAAAGCAGTAAATACTTTTACAGTGAAGTCATTGGTCAATTTCCATTTTGTTTGTCTGTATTGCATGGTGTACCGACATTAAGTGTTCTGCTTAATCGCAAAGTTGATGTATATGCGCGTGCACCAGACGTGTTAAATATGCTTTATACCAAGGTATAATTTTTAACAAAACATGTAGGAACGTCGATTTGTAATGGGATTCTATGCAATTTGATTAGCAGCCAGTTGTATCGCACAAAAACAGAAATATAAAACAAAAACAAAGGTACTAATATGTTTCACTGTGTCGCCGTCTTACCACCTGTCATTTTATATAATCAACTCGATCAAACATGACTTCGCCAATATCGATTAACTCGTTACACATCACCAACATTGCAATGAACATAATTTTTCCATAATTTGATTTATTCAAAACCAAAAATGAATACAGTACATTAAAATAAAAAATATATTTGGTGATATTCATTTTGTCATGCTGAGTACTGATTATATTAAATTGTGGCTCAACTTATGGTTCAGACTCATAGCCACAGGTAGTATGGAACATCCCTATTTTACGTGTACACATAAATTATATATAATGACACTTTCAATGACAAAGTGCGTTTTAATCTGACGGTATCATGTTGTCCTTATATAGTAACAGCTATTTGAATCACACAAACATAATTTGTATTATATTACTTGACAGCAACAAATAAGCAAATTTTCTGTATACATTTTTTGTTACCCATCATTATTAACTTTGCGGTTCTCTTTCACAGTTGTCATGTAAATATGCACACTCTTAAATTGATTAGTTATTTTAACATTATTAAACATGATAATCGTCTGTCTTACTGGTGAACAGGCTGACTCAAGCGCCTACGGTTTGGATATGTTGTGGTATATGTGTAGATTTCCTAATAACTAAAAATAGACGATTTCTTCGAAGCTACACAATGGAGCGTTTAGTTTTGGTTTCGAATGTTTTTCTTTCATCAGACACATTCCTCGTAAATCTACTATGTACAATCATACATAAGACTTGATTGAATGCATCAGATAGTTATAATAAGTTATGTCTTTGCTGCATGCTGATGGTCGGTGAGGATCGCTTCCACCATGTCAACTACACATATTTCTATGGGAAACCATGTCACAGGTCTATTATTTACATTGTCCACTGTTTTGTTTGGAAATTAACATGGTAACGACTGCACAGCGATGAAGACACCTTTCTCCCTATGTTTTACTTATATACGGAGATGAATGCACCTAATGTAAAGCACGTTTCGGTATTTACATGTACGGAATATTCAACGCCTACATGTTTCTTTCAAACAGGCGACCCAACAGTCGGAATAGTGAGACAATGTTCTGTACGATATGATATTAATTATTTGTCATGGTCATTAGTGTTCTCATAATAATCATGCCATATCAAAGCCATTTAGTTAATTGCTGCCATGGCAATTACAAGTGTTATTCTCTTGTTACAAATCTCATTGAGGTCAACCCATGGTTTACCAAAAGTGACAGAATATTTCCACAAATATTGAGAATTAAATATACCGTCACCGATAGCAGTTGTATAAAAATGAGATTTAAATTCAACTTAATAAGCTAATATTATTTCGAATTGTTGTATACTGAATCATTGTTATTTGTCTATCAAATATAGTTTATTTAAAACCATTAACGTAAATAATTTGTCTGTGAGAACATATTTGTTCTGCTGGACAAGTCGGCCTAGCACGAACACTCTGTTTCTTAGTAACTAAGAATAGATGAATTCTTCGAAGGTGAACTATTGAATGTTTACTTTTGGTTTTGTCAGCTGTTCATTCTGTCACATGCTTTTGAGTTCTGTTCATGACATATAATCATGCGTGTACACAAATATTAATCACTCTGGCAGAGCAATCGTTGTGCAGCACATATATTGTCATTCTTAGTAATTATAAATGAATTCTCCGAAGCTATAGAATGGGTAATTGCAACTTTCTGTTTGTCAGCTATTCATTGTGGTTCATCGTGGTCCTGAATCTTATCTATGTTGACAAGCATTGTGAGAAATAGCTTATTCATCCAATGGTCGCGCAGAATAGATTCATTCAGCACATATAGTCGGACTGTAGTGTGTGTGTAGACAACATCATAGCCACACAGTGCAATAAATTTGAGCTTAGCTTCGTAAAAATGTGGTTGTACCACTGTTTTATTATCGTTTAACATGATGTGAACCAGTTCTCTGATTTGATATTGGACTGGATATTACAAGATTCATAAGGAAATCACCAAGACTAAATGAAATATATCATATCACTATGCATGTCAAGTATCCAAGGAATGTAGCTTTAACAGAAAGACGATATAAACTTGTTCTAAAATGAAGAGTACCTAAGAAGAAGAATCAGATTGTCAAATAAGGT